AAAATTGAACACAACAGAACAGAACAAAACAGAACATAAGAAAGCAATGTAAGAGACAGATTTCAAAGCAAGACAATCAGAGATCCTCACTATCGTATTGTCTGTTTTCTTTCAAATAGTTGTCCATATTTTCACATACGGAGAGTTCACACAAAACAGCATAGCACAGAACTGATCTGAACAAGATGAGAAAGGCATTTTAGGTCTTCAAGATCAGACAACAGGGAAGTCAACAATGGCTGTCATTGTGTCTCTCATTTTCTTCAGAATAGCTGTCCATGCCTTCAGGTATGTTAAGATTAAACAAAACAAAACAGGCTAAAATCACTCTGAACAAAGAATAATAGTATTGCTGGATTTCACGTCATGACACTAAGGGATCAGCACTGGGTGCTGTAGTGTCTCTTTTTCTTCAGAGTAGTTGTTCATTTCATCATGTGTTATATGATCAGTTCTCATAAACTGTTTATAGCTTCTATGCATGCATGAGTCTTTTTTTATTTTTTTTTTATTTTTAATGCATGCATGAGTCTTAACATGTATTTCTATCCTTCCTGTATTAGAGGGAAAAACAAAACAAAGCAAGACAAAACAAAACATATTCCTATAAAAACATGAAATGAAAAAGTCATAAAACCATAGTACAAGGTGTTCCACAATGGTTACTGTGTTGTCTCTTATTATCTACAATAGAATTGTGTATATCATCAGGCACAGTATAATTGTATATAGCAGTGTATAACAATATTAATAAAGACAAATCATTGTAGATAGTGTAAAACCTCAAAAGCATGTAATAGTCAAACCAGAGTGGGTATCCTAGTGAATCTGGTCATCTGCAGTGTAGTTGCCTATACTCTCAGACTTGATACTGTCAGTCATAACAGTTTTGAATAAAATCTGTCGATACCAAACAGCAATCTAACAAACCAGATTCAACTAAGATCAGTCATGGTAAAACAGTGTAAGTTATACAGGGCATCAGATTAAGTTAACAGGAAATCAAGGATGATTACTGTTCTATACCCTATTTTTTGGATAACTGTCTGTACCCTCAAATCTAGTACACGTAGACAAACTGGAACAGAATATAATCCATCTAAACAGAGCGCTGTAACGTGGGCTTTAAATCCTGATACACTATTAACAGTGTCCTCTGCCTTCTGTTTTAGACTCTTCCTCCCCTTTCGCTCCCACGGGGTGCGCGGTGCATTTTGGGTCCCACCAACTCCCTAGTTTTTAGACTGGGAGCCCCCTGCTGTGTACCTAAGTGGTCCCGAACCTTCTCCCTCCTGGACTTGATCTCGAGTTGTTTTCCTTTACCTACAAAAAAGCCTACCTGCAGGTGCTGGTCGAGTTGCCCCTATTTCTCTCTCGTTCTCTGTCACATAGAGCATTGTTTTCTCGTATTTGATTTTGGGTCCATAAACCCTTTTTCAGGTTAATTATATCTCCTATACAGAGCATCTCAGTGAACCCTACCTCCTGATCTACTCTGCCTATGTTTCTTTTTTTTTTTTAAGTGTCTCAGGGCCATTAGAGATTATATTAGAGATTATAGCCAACCTTCTCTGCCTCATGACAAACAACTTTTTTTTTTTTTTTTTTTTTTAAATCAGTACCGGGGATCGAACTCACGACCGCCTGCTTGCATGGCAGGTGCTTATGCCGCTGAGCTAAATCCCCAGCCCCCACAAACAACTTTTAAAAATAAAAGTTTCTGTGTGTGCACGTGGTGCTGGAGAAGCCCACCTGCATGCATATTAAATGCACCACAGAGTTGCGCTGTGTACTAAGTTTCAAAAGCTAATGATCAGCTGGTCATTCTGGGCCGCAGAAGCTCATGAGCAGCCTCTCAGTTCTTCTCCGGCCAAACACCTCTCACTTCTGCCTTAATTGGGCGGGATGCCGTGGGGGAGACGCCTGTAATCCCCTGGCTCTGGAATCTGGAGCAGAAAGATGGAAAGTTCAAGTCACCAGGGCCAATTTAACCTGTTAGTGCAGCCCTGAGTTCAATTTGCCGCACCCCAGATTCAATCTTGAGTATCAAAAACAAAAAAAAAAAAAAAAAAAATTAAAATCATATAAAACATTTACCTGTGTTTCTTTATAGTTTTTTTTTAACTTTTTATCGGTACCCGGGATTGAACCCACAACTGCCTGCTTAAGGCAGGTGCTTATACCGCTGAGCTAAATCCCCAGCCCTCTTTATAGTTTTACCGCCTCTGTGTATATATCTGGGTGTGTGTGCATCCCTAAACAATACAGGTTTGGCTGGTCTGCTTTGAAGCATATAGAAATCCAGCTCTACATTTGTTTCTGACCTCTTTTTTCCTTTGAGACAGGGTCTCACTGTGTAGCCCAAACTGGCCTGAAACTCAAGATCCCTCTGCTTCAGCCTCCTAAGTGTTGAGATGTCAGGTATATACCCAAGCAGGCTTCTTTTTTTTTCTTTCTTTCTTTTTAAATTGGGTTTGTTGAGATGCGATCTCACTATATAGTTCAGGCTGGCCCTGAACTTGTGGCAATCCTCCTGCCTTAGGCTCCTGAGTGCTGGTTTATAGGCAGGTGCCACTACTGCACTTAGTGGACAGGTTCATTTGTGACTTCTTTTGCTATCTATCTATCTATCTATCTATCTATCTATCTATCTATCTCTTTTTTGGTACTGGTAGTAGAGCTTGAACACAGAGGCTTTACACTGAGCTACCTCCCCAGCCCTTTACACTTTTTTTTTTGTGGCAGGGATGGAACTTACAACCTTGTTCTTGCCAGGCAGGCACTTATGCAACTGAGCTAAGTCCCCGGCCTTTTTTTTTTTTTTTTTTTTTTGAGACAGGGGCTTACTAAATTGCTAAATTGCCTAGTCTGGACTAGAATTTGTGATCATCCTTCCTCAGCCTCCTGAGTGTGCTGGGATCACAGGCATGGGCCATCACGATGCCTCTAGCTCATTTTTATTTGAGGCAGAGTCTTGCTAAATTGCCCAGGGTGACCTAAAACTCTTGCCCTTCCTGCTGCAGTTTCCCAAGTAGCTGGGATCCCAGGTGTCGTCTCCTTACCCGGCCTGTTCTGTTTTGTCTGCTCCTGGGAGAGCAGGAGCAGGAGTGTGATGTCTGCTCTTTTTTATTAGGTCTGCATTTGGAGCTGGGCATCAATTCCTACCTTTGTTGCTCTTTAGAAGAACCTGAGGAGGTTTTGAAAGTGCTAATAATGCTAGAAGTCCCACCTCTGCTAATGAAATCAGGAGGTGGGGGCCCTCAGGCCTGGCTGTTTTTTAAAAGTTCGCTAGGAAATCTAAAGGGAACCTCTGGGCTGGGCAGAAAAAGTTCCCTGTCACTGACTGACCTTAAATTTTCCCAAGTGGCCCTGGGCCTCACATCCTCATCAACACCTGATATTGACCAAATTTTTACTTTTTGTCCTCCTGGAGGTGTGAATGGTATCTTACTGTGGTTTTCATTCGCATTTTGTCTCAAATGCTGGGAGGTTGCTGAGATGCTGCCTAAAGGAGAATAAAAGAAGCTAGCCAAGGGGAGATCTAGAAGGGGGGAAGGAGGGGACTGAGTGGCAGGTGCCAAGGTCCTGTGGTGGGAACCTGTGAGATGCAGGAGGGACAGGAAAGGGGACAAGGAGAGAGCTCAAGATAAGGTCGGCAGGATTCAGAAGCTTGGCAGGGTCTGAGTTGAGGGCGCTGCCTGCCCTTTCTACTTTGAGTGGAGACCAGGAAGGAATCGACCCGGGCTGAGGGCTGTGCAACCTGCCGGTGCTGCCTGTGCATCTCCGCTCCTCCTAGAATGAGGGGGGAGATGGTTTTGTTTACAGTTGATCCCCAGCGCCTAGAGACCCAGACATTCTCCGGTGTGGGGACTCAGGCAGGGTTTTCACGGCCCTTGCTTCGCAGGTGAGAGAGGGTTGGAGGGTTGCAGGTTTCATTCCCAGAGGCTCTTGAGGCCGGCCTGGAGCTCCCCACGCCCTCGTCTTTGGACCCTTGCACAGATCTTCAGAGAGGCTGCCTCTCCCCGTGGTGGTCCTTCCCAATGAGGCTCTAACCGGGTCCCTCCGCAGCTGAAAACCCTTCCAGGGCTCGCCAGCGCCCTCGAACAGAAGTCCAAACTCCGCGGAGACCCCGGAGGCCGCAAGTCTCGGCCTGCACGCCCGCCCCCAGCCAGGGGCTGCTCTTGAGGGCTCTGAGGTGGTTCCCGATTGTGACCCGGGGCCTTCCCCCTTCATCTGTCTACACTTCCTCTGGGAAGTCGCACCTGAGCCCCTGTCAGGTGACCGCCTCTCGACTGCCCCACGTCCTGTCTCTCCCCACCCCCTATCAAAGCGCACTTCCCTTTGCATGAAAATCGGCTGTTTACTCGTCTGTCTCCCCCACGGCCGGGAGCCCCGCGCTGGGGACCCGGCTGTTGAGCTCGGGCTGCACCCGAGGCTCCAGAACAGCGCCTGGCTCCCGGCTCCCGGCTGGCGCTCGTCAACATTTGCCAAGCGCATTTGGGTGCATTTTTGCTACCTGGTGCCAGATTGCTTTGCAAAAAGCCTGTGGCATTTCACACTGCCAGCAGCCCCGGGAGGATGGCCGTTTCCTCGCACCCTCTCAGCAATGTGTATTGCACCTTGGTTAATGCCACGCTCTTCGCCCGCCGCCCTCCGCCCGCCGCCGGCGGAAATTTCCGCCCCCTCCCAAGCCCCAGGCCAAGGCGGATTCGGCGAAGGTCAGGCGTTCGGGAGGGCGGCGCGCAGCGCAAGGGGGCGCCAGACGCGCCCACACGCGGGCACCCGGCTGGCGGCCCACGGCGTCCCGCCGAGGTTCCGCCTCCCGGGGGCTCCCTGAGCCCCGCGTGGCGCCCCGACAGACCGCCGGCCGCGGGGGCGAGCGGCGCAGGGCGTGCGGCGAGGCGCGGGAGGAGCCCGCCGCCTGCTCCCAACGCCACGCGGCACGAGCCCCGCCCGCGCCCGGCGCACCTGCTTGGGGCGTGGCCTCCACCGTAGGCGCGCCTGTGATTGGTGTAGCGATGACAAAAGGGCGTGACTTCCATGGTCCCGCCCTACGTAGCAGACTACTTAGAGGAGGTGGCGGCGCGTTTCTACTTACGGCGCCGCTGCACGGCCTGGCTAGCGGAGTTTGCTGCGGCCCTTGAGCGACTTTGCAGGCAGCCCCGGCGCCTCGACCATCATGCCGCGCTCGTTCCTTGTCAGGAAGCCCTCAGACCCCAACCGCAAACCCAACTACAGCGAGCTGCAAGATTCCTCTCCGGGTGAGTGAAAGGTGGGGGCACCAGGGAGGGGTTCGGGAGGCACGGGTGGAAACTATGGCGGGGCACCTCTGTGGGGCCGGGGCGGGGACCGAGTCGACCTGGAGGATTCTTCAGGGAGAGGAGGCGGGGACCCCAGAGACGCGGGGCAGGCGGGTCACAGTCCCGAATCTCCCGGGTCGGGGAAGCGCTGCGTAACTGCAGTAGGACCCCGGCCGTCGGGAGGCGGAGAAGCTCCGCGAGTGTAGACGGCAAGGGAGGCTTGTGCCAGGAGGACCCGCGGCCAGCGTCTGTTGGAGTCCGGAGTCCAGAGGGCTGGGGGAGGGGTGCGAGCCGGGCACTGAGTGGGGGAGGCTCAGCTGAGGACACTGGGGGCTGAGGTGACAGGGTCATGCCTCTGGCTGGGGGTCCAGCCGACTCCGGAAGACAGGAGCCTGGGAACGACCCGGCGAGCTGGGCCAGGACCTGAAGTGTCCCAGTGGGAGTCTCAGGTCGGTGACTTGGGCGAGGAGGAACCTGGTCTGCCCTGCTCAAAAGTCATTTTACTCATCTGTCAAGTATTGAGTGCCAGTCCCACTTAGCCCCCAACCCTCAGGGAAGTAGTGTTTGTTGACCGATTGAAAGCTTTCATGACTGTCTGTTGCTGTCTTTTGCGTCTCTCCTTAGAGCTTACCTTCCAGCAGCCCTACGACCAGGCCCACCTGCTGGCAGCCATCCCACCGCCCGAGGTGCTCAACCCCACGGCCTCTCTGCCGACACTCATCTGGGACTCCGTCCTGGCGCCTCTGGGCCAGCCCCTCGGCTGGGCCTCCCTGCAGCCCCAGGAGAGCCCCAAGGCAGCCGAGCTGACCTCCTTGTCTGACGAGGACAGCGGGAAGGGCTCCCAGCCCCCCAGCCCACCTTCGCCGGCCCCTTCGTCCTTCTCCTCCGCCTCGACCTCTTCCCTGGAGGCCGAGGCCTATGCTGCTTTCCCCGGCCTGGGCCAACTGCCCAAGCAGCTGGCTCAGCTCTCCATGGCCAAGGACCTCCAGTCTCGCAAGGCCTTCAACTGCAAATACTGCAGCAAGGAATACCTAAGCCTGGGCGCCCTCAAGATGCACATCCGGAGCCACACGCTGCCCTGCGTGTGCGCCACCTGCGGGAAGGCCTTCTCCCGGCCCTGGCTGCTGCAGGGCCACGTCCGGACCCACACCGGTGAGTGGCCCTTCTCCTGTCTCTGCTGCCTTCCCTCCTCCGCCAGTGTTTGCCATTCTGGGCTTTGATGTTCTCCTCTAAGCTGCAGACACAGAGGCTCTGAGTTCCCTTCTAGTTCACGTTCAGGTGCTGGTCCCTGGGGATGGGTGGCAGGAGCATTCCTTCCTCTGCTAAGCAGGTGGCCAGATGCCTTTGCTGGCTCCACGGCTCCGCCGCTAAAGGCTGTGGAGCCCACACCTTGCTCTTCCAGCCAGGCGTGAGGAGACCCAGCGGGCTCGACCTCCCTCAGCGGTGAAGGGTGTCAGGCCCCCCCAGTCTAGAGGTGGCTTTGAGACTTCAGGCCTCCAGTGGCATTTCATCCCTGAGCCTGTTTTCCCATCTCTATGATGGGTGTGAAAACAATTGCTGGGATTTCTGTGCAGGTTCAATAAAAGATTGTGTGAAGCAAGCACTTTTGCTGGGTGTAGCTGGGCGTGGTGGTGCACACCTGTAATCTCAGCACTCAGGAGGCTGAGACAGGAGGATCTTTGAGGCCAGACTGGGGTACATAGTGAGATCAAGGCCAATCTGAACTACAGCCTGAGAACCTGTCTCAAAAACAAAAACAAACTAAAGAAAAAACAAAAACAGTGTGCCTGGTACATAGTATACTCTCAGAGAACTACCTTGTGCTTGTATGCTGTGTGATTTGGGCTGGCAATTTAACTTCTCGGAGCCTCTGAGGGGATTATGGGGTAGCACATGCTTTACAAAAAGCATGTACAAAGTGGGTACAAAAAGCTGTAATCCCTTTATGATAATTTCTTGTACCCCGTGGTTCTCAGTTGCCCTCTCCGCCCCCACCCAAGTCCACTGTGCAGACCTGGGAACTTTGCTGGCAGGAAGCACAGCCCTATCACCTAGGAGATTTCAAAAACCTAATATGCAGAGGTTTTTCTGGACTTGAGGGAAGAGCCTGTGGAGATCTCTGGAGAAGGACTGACTGGAGGGAGGCAGCGGCTCCAGGACTGGGCCTGGTGGCCGGGGTTGGATTGGCCAGGGTAGATCCCAAGATCTGCCGCTTCCGAAGGTCGCCGGCTGGCCTTGGAGCAGTGAGTGACCGTGAGGGACACGGGGTGGGGGCACTGGCGGCTGGCAGGCCGGGCACCCTGAGCACTTGACTGAGGCCCCCGTTTCTCCCTGGGCGCAGGGGTGCTGGGCTTTAAAGTGTGAAGATCCCAGGCTGGCCTTTCCCCTCCCTCCCAGCTCAGCTCCTGGGGACTGCAAACCCGCAGGATGCTCTCCAGGGGCCCCCAGCCGCTGCCCGCCCCTCGGGACATTATTTTGATGTAAAGGCATGGCTCAGACACAAAACCCTGTTCAAATGCACCCCAGCCGTCCCCATTGACTCCCATTGTGTGTCTTAATGGTGGGCCCAGTGGGTGGGGGCAGGGAGGGGCGGAGCAGGTGCACGGGGCAGCGGTGCCCAGCACCTGTTCCGGCTGCAGCTGCTGGGCCACAGCGTGGCAGGCCCCTTTAATCCTGGGGTATCACATGTACAGTGCTCCCCTCAGCGGCCTTTGTCCCCGCCGGCCTGGTGCCGATTTCACACTTGCCAGGAGTACCTTAAAGGCGTCTGGGGGGGCGAGGGACTGGTGGAACGGGGTTCCTGCGCCTCCTGTGTGTACACAGACACCCCCACCGCGCCTCCTCTTGTCCTTGAGGGTCCCCATACCCTTTGTCCACCTTCCCACACAGGCACGTTGTGAGCCCTAACGGGAGAGGTGCCACTGTCAGCCTGGCCTCACAGAGGGCTCCATCCTCTTCCCCGAGGCTGCAGGGTCGAGCCTTCACTCCCCGTCCCAGGAGTGTAGAGGGGAAAGAGCCCGGGACCTGGCCAGTGCCCCAGTGCCTGCTGGGGGTCCCGCTGAATAGGCGGCTGGGCACAGCCCCTGCAGGGGGTGCACTTGGTTTCCAGTTCTCGAGTTCCTGCTCTGGGATTTAGCAGATGGCATGGGAGCCTGTGCTGGGGGGCTGAGGTGTAGGGAGGCTGCTTCTCCAGGGATGTCCAGTGTCGTAGAGCTGGTAGGAAGGCCATGGGTGTTCAATGAATTACTATTTATGACCTATTTCTGGAAAACGCGTGCCTCTAAGAAAAAACAACATTGTCATTGTTTGGGGAGAACTATGTCCTCTCAAGTAGGGCGGCTATGAAAAGGTGTGTGATTGAAGAGTGAGGCTTCTGGGGCTTGGCTTGTTTGGATTTTTGAGACAGGTTCTTACTTCAGGGGCCCTGGACGCATCTGCTTCAGCCTCCGGAGGGCTGGGATTACAGGTGTGCACCACCACGCCTGGCTTTTTTTGTTTGTTTGTTTTGTACCAGGAATCCCAAACTCAGGACCTCCCACTTGCCAGGCAGATTCTGTGCCGCAGAGCTCTACCCCTGGCTGTTTGTTTTTTGAGTCTCTTTTGAGACAGAGCCTGGCTCTGCAGCACAGGCAAGCTTCAAACTCATGATTATCCCGCCTCAGCCTCCCAAGTACAGGGACTCCAGGCACACATTAGTGCTCCTGGCTGAGGCCTTTTTTTTTTAAGGCAGATTTGTTTATTTTCTGGATACTTATTGAGCACCTACTGTATACTTACCCCACTCTTGAGACTTCCTAACATAGCATTGAGCAGGCATCTGTGTCAGGGCTGCAAGATTCTGTAGCCTCTTGGCGGTGGGCGGGGGGGGGGGGTGTCCTAGGCCCCGGGGCTGCGGCTTGGAATGGCTCAGGCTCCTGGCGCTATGTGGCTATGCGGCTATGCGACTTGGTCTGATAGGGACAGGAGATGTGGGATTACAGTGCTGCGGGCCTTGTGACGGGGAAGCAGGCCGGGAGGAGTGGCCTAAGCAGCTCCCAAGGTGGGGGCAGGGAGACCTTAGCTGAAGACTGCCTCTTAAGCTTTGTCCCCAAGGAGAATCTGGGAATGCCTCCAGGGCTGATAATGAGGAAGGCCAGCCACAGCCTTCCTTGACCAGAGGCCCTTGTCTAGTGGTTAAAATCAAGGGCCAGGGAGGCCTGCTGGGTGCCCAGAAGATGTGCCGTCGGTCACCTCTGTCGCCTTTTGCCATCTTGAATAAGAAAACACAGAAGCCGCCCCGAGCTGTGGGGAGCAGCCAGGCCTTGGGCAGAGTCTGTGTTTAATGTAACTTCAGGGCCCGGTGAGGGGCTCTAAAGGTGGGAGGTGCAGGCTTGGCATCAGGGAGTGTCCCTGCCTCCAGGCCTCACCTCCTGGGTCCCTCTGTCCCCAGGTGAGAAGCCCTTCTCCTGCTCCCACTGCAACCGCGCCTTCGCCGACCGCTCCAACCTGCGCGCCCACCTGCAGACCCACTCGGAGGTGAAGAAGTACCAGTGCAGGACCTGCGCCCGCACCTTCTCCCGCATGTCCCTGCTCCACAAGCACCAAGAGTCCGGCTGCTTGGGGCGGCCCCGCTGACCTCCCCGACTCCAGAAGGAAGGAGCCTGTCCTTCCCGCCCCCTCGGAGTTCCCTTCTGAGAATCCATCTGGCTGCATCCGACCCTGAGGACTTTGGTGAAGCCGCTTCTGGTTCTGTTCTGTCCACTCGGGGCCTGGGGCAGGGTGGCACCGAGAGAGGCCCTGGGTGCCCTTTGCTTGGAGTCCTTCCTGGCAGCCGTGTGGGAGCTTGCTCGGACTGGCCTCTTGGGTTTGTGTATCCAGAGCCCTTTGGATACAGCTCAGCCCACTCAGGCCCCACACACCCCTACCTCCGCCTCCCCAAGAAACCCTCAGGCCACTTTCCTCAAAGTGTGACTAACTATGCAATAGCCCACTCTGGGTGCGTCTTGTGCCTCTGGGGCGGTTTCAGGACACCAGGACGGACTTGTCCAGACCTCCAGGTGCCCCTGGGCCTGGGCAGCTATTCAGCCTCCTGTTTGTCATGGTGACACCTGTCTCATGGGCAGTTTAACAGTGTCTCAAAAGGGACTGGGAGTAATGGCCTTCAGTTGTCAGGGGCCAAGTGGGTGCTTCGGCCTGACCAATGTGTCTCCCAGAACTATTTTGGGGGCCCAACAGGTGGGCCTGGGAGAAAGATGTTTACATTTTTAAAGGTACACTGGTATTTATATTTCAATCAACATTTTCTATAAGGGAACATTTTGTATAGTGTTATATGTACAGTTTATTGATATTCAATAAAGCGTTAATTTATTATGAAGTCTGTCCTTGGTCTTGTGGGATGGTTTTTTGTTTCTACAGCACTGGGGATTTGAACCTGAAGTCTTTACACTGGGCTCCGTACCCAGCCCTTTGTAAAATTTTTTTTTTTGGAGGTAAGTCTAAATTGCCCAGCCTGGGCCCCAGTTTGCAGCTCTCCTGTGCCAGCCTTCCAAGCACGCTGGCATCACCGGTGTGTGACTTGAGCAAGTATTTTAGAAAATATTTGCGAAGGGAGGAGGGGGCCGCGATTCCTAGAGCTTTGGTATTTGTGACGCGGCCTTAAATCTTGTCCTTGGAAACAGGCTGTGGGCCATGTTTCCAAGTCTGTGGCCTGTCCTGAGTCTGACTGCAGGAGTCTGGGCCAAGGAGATGTCCCCGGGCCTCCGAGTCTGCTGGTTTGGAGACGGGGCCGGGCAGGGAGCAGTCGGGCCCTTCGGACCAGCCCTGCTCCCGCACAGGCTCGCTCTGGCTCTTGTGGCCTGCAGCTGGCTTCCTGGGTCTCATCAATCAGATAGGCCCGGTGGCCCTGCAGCTCTCGGGCAGGGCTGGGCCCCCCAGCTGAAGGGGAGGATGTCCTTCCTGTTCCCGAGGGCCCGGCCTCCCTGTTAGGCAGGCCCACACCTCCGTCTGGCTGCTTGGGTACCAAATGGCCTTTGATGCAAGGAAATTGGCTGGCTGGAGCCAGGAGGGTGAGAAGTGGGGCCAAAGGGTAGGGGTCATTCAGCTTCCTGCTCGAGAATGGGAGGACCCCCAGCTTGTGCCTGGGCGGGGGCAATTCGCTCCCAGCCTGGGTGACTGGCGCAGTGGTGGTGACCTCACCTCTGGGGGCCTCCTGGGGCCAGGAGAAAATGAGTGTCCTTTCTGAGCACAAAAGGTGCCGAAGGTGCCAGCTTCCTGCGGGCGGCTGAGCCTGCGTCCCATCGCAGCGAGTCAGGCTGGGGGAGTCCGTGTTCCAAGGGAGAGATGATTCTTTTTTCTAAACAGGAAATGGTGACCCGCAGGCCGGGAGCAGCCCTTAATGACTTGCAGCTTTCCTCCCAAAAGGAAAAAAAAGTTCTCTAACAATCGCCAAATTGTGGCGGGCCTCCCTGAAGGGAAGTTAGGGAGCAGGGTGGGGGCTGGGCCGCTCGGCTGAAGGCCTACTGTGTCCCTGTTGCCTCGGTGGGTCCTGACATCAGCCACAGTGGGTGCTGACAGTGGTGAGCAGGTGACTTCACCATCCTGGAGGCTCCAAGCTGGCTTGCCTGAGGTCCTCGGCTTGAACTTGGTCCACCTGGCTGGGAGTCAGGCAGGCCCAGCCCTGGTCCCAGGAGTCACGAGGCTGTCCCCCTCCCGAGGCCTGTGCTTCCCACCTGCAGAGTGCGTGGCAGTGGTGCCTCCCTCCTGGGACCCTAAGGAGGGAACATTCGCCCCTCAGGGTTCAGCAGCTGCGTGCACCAGGCCCTGGCCCAGCTCGAGGATGTGGCATTCTAGCGGAGAGGAGACACACACAAACAAGCTGCCCTCCAGCCACAGTCCCGGGAGGAGAGGCCAGGCCGAGGCTGCAGGGAGGCACAGGCCAGCTCCAGTCCAGGCTGAGGCCGGGAGGTGGACAGGCCGGCTGTAGCGAGGCTAGGCTTTCCAGGAGGACCATAGCAGCCAGCTTTGCTTTGGGCACAAAGGTTCCCTGGCCACAGGTGTGTCACCTACTCCTGTCTGTATCGCAGCAGACGCGGGAGGCTTAGGACAATGTCGGTTCCCTGGTGGGGTAGGGAGGTTCCCAGGAGAAGGAGGCAGGGTGGAAGGGACAGGCCAGAGGATTTATGTGTACTTTTTTTTTTTTTTTTTGAGACAGGGTCTCACTGTGTAGACCAGTCTGGACTTGAACTCTATGTATGTAGCCCAGGCTGCTCTCAAACTTACAGCAATCCTCCTGCCTCAGCCTCCCGAATGCTGGGATTACAGGTGTGCACCATCATGCCCAACTCTGCTAGACTTTTTTGTTTGTTTGTTTGGTTTTTAGTTTTTTGAGACCGGGCTCTTGACATGTAGTTCAGGCTGGTCTTGAACTCACAGTGACCTTCCTGCCTCAGCCTCCCAAGCGCTGGGATTACAGGTGTGCGCCACCACGCCCAGCTCTACATGCTGTGCCTTTCCTAAGGCAGGCTCCGTGCCTGAATCAGGAACCTCACCTAACTCGGAGCCCTTCTCTAGTGCGCATCAGAGCCAGACTTCCCCGGCCGCCCAGTGCCGCCCCTGCAGCATTTCAGGGGAGGGGTAGAGAGCGACTTTGGTTCTCACCTGGGATTTTTTTGTTCTGGCTTTTTAGTTCCTTATTCCAGGGCAGCCCTCGAGTGCTGATTTTCTTTTCTTTTTTATCCCCCCCCCCCAAGTATCTAGGACCTTCTCACTCAGCTGCACATGTCCACCTGCTTCAGCCTCCCAGAGAGCTGGGGGGTGGAGGCCTGGATGCCACACTCAGCCGACTGTGACATTTCCGAAGAGCACAGCACAGCAGTTCCCAGGGAGTTCCCTCCGCCCGTGTCCTGATGTGCAGTCGTACCTGGCTTTGGGTTGCGTACCCTTGGCGGAAGTGGAGGCAGCTGGTCTTTCCTCCCAGAGTGCAGGTCCCAAAGTGCCGGAGCTCAGCGCCCCATCCCTGAGTCAGCCCTGACCCCGATCGATCAAGTGCTGCAGGCAGGTTCCCCTGTGAGCCCACCCTTCCCCAGCTCCGCTTACTCCGAGCCTCCTGGGAGCTCCTTGGAGCCCCAATGCGAGTCCCCAAAACTGGGGTGGCACACACCTGCAATCTCCGAACTCTGGGAGGCTGAGGCAGGAGGATAGTGAGTCTGAGGCCAGCCTAAATTTAGCGATTTACCAAGACCTTGCCTCAAACTAAAATTTTAAAAAGGGCTGGGGACAGAGTTTAGTGTGTGTTCAATTTAGTGTGGGTTCAATTCCAAGTACTACCAAAAAAAAAAAAAAGGTTCACCCCTTGAGCTTTACCTAAATCACTTATTTCTAAATCACTTCTTTCTTCTTCTTTTTTTTTTTCTTTGTCTTTTTGAGACAGGGCCTCACTATACAGCTTAGGCTGGCTTTGAGGTCACTTTGTAGCCCACACTGGTTTCAAGCTTGCTATGATTCTCCTGCCTCAGCCTCCCCAGGTGCTGGGGTCCCAGGCGTGCGCCACCGCGCCCGGTACTAAGTGAGTTTCCAGCCCAGCCCTCCTCCTCTGCCTGCTGCTTGGCTTTCGCTGAGGGACTTCCCTTCCGTCGGTCGCAGCCCAGAGCCCTGGCTGGGGACGGATTGGGTGGGAGCTGCAGGATCTGGCTAGGCTCATTCCTCCCCTGGGAGTTTCTTCACATTGTCCAGGAAATAAACGTCGGTAAAGCCAATATTCAGACAGGTGCCTGGGCCGCCTGCAAACCTCAGGCCAGGGCCACCACTGGGCACATCTGCGCCCCAGTAGCGATCCAGAGGCTACTCATAGGAGCCCCCCGGGCTGGGCTGGCAGGCACCTGGGTGTCCTTATTCTTCTTCATTTCCAAAATGTCACTTTCATAAACGCTGTGAAAATTTATTTCATTGTCAATAGAAAATGAAAAGATGAGGTGGGTGGCCCAGGGGACACGTGATTCAGTCCTGCTCCCCTGGTGTCCTCCCAGTCCTGTGTCACGGTATGAAAAGACTGGTCGGGGTTCCTCCCCCTTGAAAAAGAACGGCAGTGTAGGCTGGGCCGTGGCCCGGTGGCTTGAGACCTGGGCTTCGTCCCCAGCACTGCAGAGACGGAGGGGCAAACCCAAGTGTGTAGGTGGCAGCCGCTGTGCTGGGCTCCCCTCCTCCTGCGGTGCCCGCCCGTGGGTCCGCCCGCTTTGCCTCTCTCTGCCCCCTCACTCCCCACAGCTGTGCCAGGTTTGTGGTCACCCCAAGGCCTTTACACTTGCACCCCCTCTTCCAGGAGGGCTCTGTCCCAGAGCCACATATCCACCCCTGTGGCCTCCCCCTGCAGTGGTCAGTCTTTTCCTTAGTGCTCAGACTGAGCACTGACTGTGCTGGGCTCAGTGCCCAGCACCTCCCACTGATCACCTCAGTAACCTTTCACTACCCACCTAAGGAGGAAACCCAGCCCCAGAGAGGTTAAGGAAGTTGCCCAGAGTCACACAGCAAACGACCGACAGATACAGGATTCAAACCCTGGGTTCTTTCACTGCTGATGTCATTTACTTCTTCCTACCTATAATGTGGGAGAGTAATTAAAACTTTTTTTTTGTCGTGAGACAGGGTCTTGCTGTGCAGTTCAGGCTGGCCTTGAGCTCACTTTGTAGCCCAGGCTGATTTTAAATTTGCAGTGATCCTCCTGCCTCAGCCTCCTGAATGGTAAGATTACAGGCATGTGCCACTGTACCTGGCTAAATCCTTTTAAATGGAGCTGGGTGTGGTGGTGCACACCTGTAATCTCAGCCACTCCGAGGCTGAGGCAGGGCGTTCCAAAATTCACGTGTAGGCTGGGTAATTTAGCAATTTAGTGAGACCTTGTCTCAAAAAAAATAAATAAAATAAAATCAAACAAAAAGAGAATTGGGGCTCAGTGGGAGAACACTTGCCGAGCACATACAGGGCGCTGGGTTCCAGAGGCTGGGAAATCTTAACTCCTCTCCTTGGCTGCCTGCTGTCTCCTCTCCTGCTGAGGGCCCCCATCTGTCCTTCAGCCAGGTTTCTTTTGTTTTTCTTTCTGGTTTTTTGAGGCAGGGTCTGGCTCTGTGGTTCAGCCTCCTGGAAGTCTTCCTGCTTCAGCCTCCTGAGTGCTGGGACTACAGGCAGGTGCCACCACATCCAGCTTTTTAAAATGTGTATTTATTTTTGTTTTTATTCGTGTTTGCAGTAAATAACCTTATGTTCCTCGTGGGGAACCAAACCCAGAACACATTTTAATTCTTTGTACCTTTCTTTCCCTGCTCTTCCTCCATTTCTCAATCCCCTTCCCAAGGCGAAAGATTTAGCTCCCTGTAATCTACCTTTTAGTTTTCACTTTACGTTATTTATGCTGAGAAGAGGGCAGGAAGGGAAGGGAAAAGTAAAAAAGAATTAAGATGTCCCGGGTACGCCCAGCTCCCCACAAGGAATGTGTCACTATCTGTCACAAACAGGTACTAATGACTTTTTTTTGGTCTTTTTGAGACAGGCTCTCGATATGCAGGTCAGGCTGGCCTTGAGCTCACTTTTCAGCCCTGGCTGGTCTCAGACTCATAACGATCCTCCTGCCTCATATAAAACATTTTAAAATAAAAAATAGCCTGACATTTTAGCTCACACCTGTAATCGCAGCCCTAGACAGGCTGAGGCAGGAGGATTGCTACAAATTCAGGACCTGCCTGGACTACATGGTGATAGCTTGCCTCTAAATAAATAAATAGTAAATTATTTATTCTTTGAGTTTCTCATATAAGAAATCATTTGATATTTATTTATTTAGTGGTTTTTTGAGACAAGGCCCCACTGTTATCACCATTTGATATTTAAACTAAGCAATTCATTTCCCTTAACACTGTGGTCTCGAGATGTATCTATTTTCTTTTGTTTTTGGAACCAGGGATCGAACTCACGACCTCTCGCTTGCCAGGCAGGCGCTTGTGCCACTGAGCTAAATCCCCAGCCCCTGCATCTGCTTTCCTACGAATGACTCCAATGTGTCCTTCTTTGTGGCTGAGTAGTGCTCCATTGTGTATAAATGCCATTTTCTTTGTCCATTCATCTGCTGATGGACATGAAGGTCACTACCGGGCAGGGGGACAGGACCTGGGGGTGGAGCCCGGGACAGGAAGCAGCCCATCCCTGGCCCTGGGCGGGCGGGGACTTCCCTCCGCCACAGCCCGAGCCTCTGGGCCCAGCACCTGCTCTGGGCAGTGGACTAGCTTTCTGGGGTGCTCTTAAACTCCACGGCTTCACACAGAAGGAGACGGGAGGGCGCGGGCGGCAAGCCTCACGGGTGCGTTGGGCCGGACTGGCTTCCTGAGGAGTGTGATCTTTATGCACCGAAAACTGGACCCCTGCAAAAGGAAAAAGAAAACAAAACACACTGGGAGGTTATTCTCCCCGTTCTGGAGGCTGGAGAGATGTTCCCAGCCTGCAGGGCCCTCAGGTGCTGGGGTCCCCCCCGGCCGGGCCTCTGCCCTGGTCTCCTCTGCCTGTGTCCCCGTCTTCCCGACACCCCTCGTCCTTGTGTTCTCAACTCACCTGGGGTTCCTGTTTCCCTTCACACATTCCTGGGAGGGGGCTCGAGGGGATTTGTCCTGATGCTGAGCAAATGCTCTGCTACTGAGCTACAGCCCCAGCTGACCCTGCCTTTGAGGGACACAGTTCACACACCGGTAATGCCAGCACTGGGAGGCTGAGGCAGGAAGATCTCTGTGAGTTTGAAGCCAGCCTGGCTTACATAGTGGGTTCAAGGTCAGCCCCTGAAAGAAAGAAAGAAAGAAAGAAAGAAAGAAAGAAAGAAAGAAAGAAAAGAAAGAAAGAAAGAACAACATAACAACAGCAACAAAGCCCAGCAGTTCAGTTGCTGCTGGCAGAACATTCAAGGGTTCACTGTTGTATTTGTGAGAGCCTGCGATAGACCAGGAACTTTCTATTTAATTTCATTCTGTGTTACTTTAATTTTTTTTCTTTTTATGATACTAGGAAAGGAATCCCAGCATCTCACTCATATTAGGCAAGTACTCTACCACTGAACTAACCCCTGAGTCATTTGTCATTTGTTATTTAGACAGTCAATTGTTAAATTGCCCAGACCAGGCATAAATTTGCTACCCACCTGCCTCTGAGCAGCTGGGATTACAGGTGTGCCCCACCAAGGCCAGCACAAGAATTTCTGTTTGTTTGTTTTGAGACAGAGTCACTTTGTAGTTCAGGCTGGCCTTGAACTCACTGTGTAGCCCAGGCTGGTCTCACACTTGAGGCAATCCTCCTGCCTCAGCTTCCCAAGTGCTGGGATCTTAGGATCCTTCTGAGTGCTGGGATTGTAGGCATGTACTACCACACCATGCCAATAATTTTTTTTGTTTTGGTACCGAGGATCGAACTCACAACCTCACGCTTGCCAGGCGGTTGCTTGTGCTGCTGAGCTAAATCCCCAGCGAATAATTTTTTATTATTTACCCACTAAACCTTTCAAGGTGGGGCAGTATCGGGAAGCTGGCTTGGGGATGGGGAGCTGCCTGGGCTCCTCTGTGTGGCTCCTGGGGACAGGGCCTCAGGCAAAGCTCTACCAACCCCTCCCAAAAGTGGCCAAATACAGATAGAGAAGCCATGGGCCAGGCCCACGCAGGCTGGGGACCACTATGGACTGATTGTGAGGGCCAGGGCCAGGGCAGGCCTAAGTGGGAAGGCCTGACTGGTTGCTCTCGGCTGAACCTTGGGCAGCTGTGTGGAGCAGGCCTGGCAGAGGGCCAGCCACTGAGGAGAGGCTGCAACCCTGGGCAGCAGAGGGGGCAGGAGGCCCTTGACAGGACTGGGGCAGCGGGACGGACAAGGCCTGGCATGGACATTGCGGGGTTAGGGAGATAAACACCCATCGAGGTGAATGGTATTAACAGTTGGGCCAGAGATAGAGCTCAGGAGCACAAGTGCCTACCTGGCAAGCTCAAGGTCCTGAATTCGATTTCCGCTACCCTCTCCAAGCAAAACAAAACAAAACAGCAGTAAACATCTCTTGACATTTGCTGCTAATTATTTTAAGGAAATCGCTTGATTTAATCCTCACAGTGGGCTGGTTATGGTGGCATATGTCTGTAATCCCAGCGCTCTGGGAGGCTGAGGCAGGAAGATCTCACCAGCCGGAACAGTTTAGCCACTTGCGGAGAGCTTCTGTCTCACAATGGTGGATGAATAATGGGGGTGCAGCTCAGTGCAAGGGCTTTGGGTTTAACTACCAACACCAGAAACAAAACAGAAAGACCCCTCAACCCCAGTATGTGAGTGTAGAGGTCTGTTATGGCTGAGGGCCCTGCACAGACTATCTGCCACGTCTCTGCTGTGTGTGCCCGAGCGAGCATCTCAGCCTCTCTGGGTCCACTTCCTCATCTGAGTTCCAGCACTTCCTCTGGCAGCGAAGGGACAAATCCAGCGAATACTTGTAAACTGTGAGGTGTCAGACTGGAGCCCCAAGGTGGCTCTGTCGGGGTGCCCGTGTTGTGGGCAGGAAGGAGGCTTTGGTCAGGGAGCCTCCCCAGGCTGCCCAGAGCATGCACAGAAGTCGGCTCGCCTTGGAGCCCACCCCACCCTGGCCTGGGCCAGTCCTGCATTGTCCCGGAGACCAGAGCACCAGGGCAGCAGCCAGAGCTGGAGCAGCCACAGGGCTCGCTGGACCCAAGCAAGGGCCTCCAGGCTGGGACCCAGTGCCCCGCCATTTCTACTTAGCTGGTGACTCGGCTTGAAATAAAACAGAAATGAAACCTCAGCCGTTCAGCAGAGCACTCGGGGTGGGGATCCCCCAAGGAAACCCATCTTTGCCCCAGGAAGAGGCCTGGACTGGCAGGGGCTTTCCTTGGTCTCCGTCCCTTCCCTTCCGGTCTGTTTGCCACTAACACCTCGGTCTGTGACCTGAACGAGTCCCCACCTTCCCCGGGCCTGGCTGCAGGTCCGTCAATGCGGTCCCACTCAAAACGCAAAGGGGCAGGAAGAGACGGCACCCGGGGCTTTCTCAAGGAGAAAACCGCCCCGCGCCGGGCATCAGAAGTCACTGGCCGCTGAGTCCTGGTACCCACAGCGAGCAGGTACTTTGCTTTCTAAAGGGAAACAGTGCACACACATGCGTGCCGAGGTGCGGTGGCCCAGGCCTGTAAATCCAGGGCTGGGAGGCTGAAGCAGGAGGATTGCTGTGAGTTTGAGGCCAGCTTGGGCTACATAAGTGAGTGATTGAGTTCAAGGCCGGCCTGCACTGCATAGCAAGACCCTGTTTCAGGAGAAAAAAACAAGTGGCCACATTTCAGGGAGTTCAGAGATAGCCAGGACAACCACCTGGTCTCGTGTGTGTGTGTGTGTGTGTGTGTGTGTGTGTGTGTGTGTGTGTGTGTCTGGGGATGGAGCCAGGGCCTTTTGCATGCTAGGCAAGCTCTCACCATTGAGTACACCCATGGCCATTTCTATTTATTTTGAGACAGGGTCTCATTAGTTGCTAACTTGCCCAGACTGGGCTTGGACTAGTGATTCTCCTGACTCAGCCTCCTGAACTGGGACCACAGGGACGCCGCACCACACCTGCCTTCAGTTCACCCATCTGCAATCTCACTGCTCTTCGTCCGTTCAGAAGGTTGAGCACGCATCTCCCCTCTGATCTCAGAATGTTTCACTGCTGAAAAAGAAAACCCCAGATCCACCAGCAGCCGCCCCCACCACATCCCTGTGTCCTCCTCCCGTCAAGCCAAGGCACCGGCAGCCGCTTTCTGCCTGGACATTTCACATCTGCGGAGCCTGGGCGAGGACCCTACGAGTCCTCAGGTGGCCTGCTGTCGCCTAGGCTCACCTGCATTGCCGCAGAGGCAGGAGAATCTCTCTGTGGATGGCCAAGTAATTACTCCTGGCGTGGCACACCACAGTCTACATGTCCATGGGGCAGTGACGAGTGACCCTCGGGCGCACCCACCCTGGCTCTTGAGCCCAGTGCTGCTGCGAGCACTGTGCCAGGTTTGTGTAGCCCACCAGCCCCACAGTGAGAGGCTGCCCTGCCAGCACGGGCAGCTCCAGTGTTTATTCCTCACGCTGGCCACTGCGTGCTGCCCAGCCCGGCCCACTGCAGCATTTTAGTAAGAAGCAAGACTGTGGCCGACACACAGCGCGCTGCCGGGTGTGGACGACGGGATCCGATGCCTCTGCAGGCTGAGAACGCAGTGTAAGTCTGTGAGCTTCTTCCTCCCTCTGTGGGCAGGACTGGACGGGGCTGCCCAGCCCTAGGCCAGGAGGATCTCTGAGGGTGAGGAGGCTGGAGCAGTCAGCCGCCCTGACCCCGTCCATCGGTGGTTTCTACTTTGGCCTGAGGGCAGGTTGTGGGGTCCTGGGGTCCCCAGTTCAGCCCCCTGAGCCCGCCTGCGTTGCTGGTGGGAGGAAGTCAGGAAAGGGTAGGGAGCACGGGGTGCCTGGCCAGGAAGGAGGTGGAATGGATGAGGCCATGGCCGAGTGGAACAGCTGGCCCTGGCCCCAGGAATGGAGGTTACCAGAGCCCTAGGGAAGAGCTGGTGCTGTTGTGATGATACAGGCCCATGTGACAAACGGGAACACCCAAGTCTCAGGGAAGGAGAGACCTGCCCAAGGTCCTCTCCCCCAGGGACAATGGCAGAGCAGGGATTCGAACCCATCCTTCTGCTGGAAGGCTTCAGGGTATGTGCAGGGGGTGCTGCACAGTTGGGGATGCTGGGGAGCCTTCCTGGACAGCGGGGTCAGAGGAGGAAAGTTCAGGAAGAGAGGACACAAGTGCAAAGGTCCTGGGGTGCAAACGCCCCGTGCAGTGTCTGATGAGGCTGGAGCACCGAGGCGGGCAGGAGCTGGGGCCACAGCCCAAGGCAGGTGTTTGGCTTTTATTCTAAGCCACAGGAAGCCACCAGGGGATTTTACAGTCTGACTTCCCTCTGGCTGCGTGTGGGAAATAGGTTGAGGAGGTCGAAAGGAAGTGGAAGATGACAGGAGGCACCTGCAGGCCTCGGCTTCCCAGGGAGGAGCCTGAAGCGGGGCTGGGCGGGGGCGGGGGCCAAATGGATGGGCGGGGCTTGGAGGGAGGGCGGGGCCAAATGGATGGGCGGCGCGTGCGAGTGGGCGGGGCCGGCTGACATCTGGCTCTGGGGCAGGAGCCAATGAATCTTGTTTTTTAAAAATTTTCTTTCAAAGGAAGCCAGGATGAACCTTTTCTTTCTTTCTCTTTCTTTCTTTCTTTCTTTCTTTCTTTCTTTCTTTCTTTCTTTCTTTCTTTCTTCTCTTTGAGTTCAGGCTGGCCTTGAGCTCATTCTGTAGCCCAGGCTGGTCTTGAACTCTCAACGATCCTCCTGCCACAGCTTCCCGAGTGCTGGGATTACAGGCACGCACCACCACGCCCGGAAACCTTTTGTTTTTTAATCATTCTTTCCCTGTTTTGATTGCCAGGGTTTGAATTTTATATTGTTTTTTACAATTTTTATTTTTATTAATATGTTTGCAATACATAATGATTACTTTCAGCATGGGGAGTTGGTGTAGGCACATAACACATCTTTGCTGTCTTCACATTCTCCTTTTTGTTTTTTTGTTACATACAGGCTGGCCTTAAACTCGTTCTGTCACCCCAACTGCCCTTGAACTCGTGGTGATCCTCCTGTCTCAGCCTCCTGGGTACTGAGATTATAGGTGGGCACCACCACCACTTTTTTTTGGCATGGGGGATCGAACTCGTGACCTCGTGTTTGCCAAGCAGGCACTTATGCCGCTGAGCTAAACCCCCGGCTCATGCACCACCACTCCTGAGTTTGAATTTTGACCATGTTGGTAAATTCTCAATACTGTACTATAGTTAATCAGCAATCAGCTCTCAACTATTTTTGTCAATAGTCTAATTTGTGGATTTTTTTCTGATATATATATTTGGTACCAGGAACTAAACTCAGAACCTTCTTGCCAGGCAAGCACTGTGTGACTGAGCTATATTCCTGGCCCTCTGATCATATTTTTAATTTAATTTTATACTTTTTTGGTTTTTTGGTCTTTTTGAGGCATGGTTTCACTATGCAGTGCAGGCTGGCCTTGCACAGTGATTCTCCTGCCTCAGCTTCCTGAGTGCCGAGATGACAGGTGAGCGCCCCCACCTGCAGTTACTACTGCATTTTTAAAGTACTTTTACTAGTGTTTAAGAAGGCTTTTATAGGCACAGTGATGCATGCTTATAAATTCAGCTATTTGGGAGGCTGAACCTGGCAAATCTCAAGTTCAAGATCAGCCTGAGCAACTTAGATCCTACCTAAAAATAAATAATACAGCTCAGTGCTCCCAGGATCCAGTGGGCGTGTGTTTCTCCTGCCTCCTGGCTCAGGAGGTGAGCTGTGGGCAGAAACAGCCCTCCTCTGGGGCAGGTCCCCACCCCTCTTTGCAGCTCACATCTCAGGTTCCTCCTCCTGCTGGCACTGAGAGCACAGTAGCTCCCAGCTGGGCTGCTTTTTCTTCTTCTCTTTTTGGAGACAGGATCGTGCTCTGCGATGCTGGCTGGCCTTGAACTCACCAGCTAGCCCAGGGTAGCTTCAAACTTGCAGCAACCTTCCTGTTTCAGCCTCCCGGTTACTAGGGTTACAGTGGTGTGTCACCATGCCGGGCGTCAGCTACTGACTCTCCAAGGGGACCTTGGATAAGCCTCTTAATCTCTGAGTCTCAATTTGCTCAACTGGAAAAAGGGAACTATCCAGATTCCTGGACTAGCAGAGTGTCTAAAGAATGGAAAGAAAAACCAGGCCTGGTGGTGCAGGCCTGTAATATCCCAGCACTCAGGAGGCCGAGGCAGGAGGATTGTTGAGAGTTTGAGACCAGCCTGGGCTACAAAGTGAGTTCAAGGCCAGTTTGAACTGCACAGTAAGATCCTGTCTCAAAAAGATGAAAGAAAAACAAAACAAAACAAAACAAAACAAAACAAAACAAAAAAACCAAAGAAGTAATGCATGAAGTGAAGGATTAAGAAATGGATCCTGGTCAGGGGTCTAACTCAGCAGCACGAGTGCCTGCTTGACAAGCATAAGTCCTGAGTTCAATTCATCCCCCCCAAAAAAGAAAAAAGAAATGGCTCCCACAATGCATTATTAATGTGTTTAATATCTCTATACTAAAATATTTCATAAAATATTCCATTTATAAATATAAATTTTTAGTAGGATGTGTTACAGGAACTAATGAAAATGATTAATTTCCTAGGTTTATGTAATACTAGTATTTACAAAGCATTTATCATTGTAAATTTTTCTGTTTATGGATGACCAGATCTGATTAAAATATATATTAAAAATGATGTTGGGCCGGGGATTTAGCTCAGTGGCAAAAGCACCTGCCTGGCACATATGAGGTTATGAATTCAATCCCCAATATCAAAAAAAAAAGAAAGAAAGAAAAGAAAAGAAATGATTTGTAAGACAAACAGAATGCAAAAGCTGATTAGTAATCATGAACTGTGTGGTCTGACCTTTGAAAAACCTGTTACATGTGATCTTTAAAGCAATGTTAGTCACTTGATATAATAAAAATAAAGTCTCTGTAATAAAATGTGTCCTTAAAAAGGACTTTAATTTAAACACACTTCTGCCTCAGGGCCTTTGTACGTGCTGTCTCTGCTTGCTGGACATTCTTTCCTTTCTGAAGCCTTCCCTGATCATCCTGAGACCCACTGCAAGTCCTCCCGAAGCTTCTTCCCAGCACTCTGACTACCCCCACACTCTATCCCTCTTACTACCATCTGACACTTTATTTGGGGTGTTGTCAGCTTGGCAGGATGTTTTCTGGTCGGTTTGCATTACCCCAACCCCCGGAGTGATGCCCAGCACACAGTAGGTGCTCCACGGAGAAGGGAAGTTGGGGTCAGACCTGGTACTTGTCCTGCCCCTCCGGGCTTCCTCCAGCCCTGCCGGGGCGCCCTGGCTCCCCGCTGGCCCAGCGAGACGAATGCGCGCTCGGCCGCCGCAGACAGCGCGCCGCCAGCCTAACCCTGCGTGGAGAATGCGGCGGGAACGGAGGCGGGGCGCTGGGCTGGTGGTCTCGGCGGCGCGCAGGCACCCCGCGCCCCTGGCCGGGCTGGGATGGGGGTGCCGGCGACACGATCGCGCACGGGTGCAGGGCAGCGGCACCCGCAGCTCTCCGGGCTGGTCCCCGCGGCCTGGGCGCTGACGTCGGGGCAGTGGCCGGACCCAAGTCCTGCAGAACCGGTGCCCAGCGCCCGCGAGGCCTGAGCCGCCCCCGGTGCCCCCGAGCCTGCTTCCCTCTGTCCCCTGGGAGGGCCAGGCGCGGGGGACAGGGCGCCCCCTGGGGGGCCGCAGCCGCTCCCCCGGCCAGCGCGGAGCCCACGAGGACCCTGCACCTCCGACAGGCACCGGGCACCTGCAGCTCACTCCCTGCGCCCTTGGGTCGGCAGGAGGGCGAGGGGCCGAGAGCAGCTAAGGAAGGGAGCCAGGTGCCCTGGCGGGGCGTGCGGACGGGCGGGCTGGACCTCCTCCTGATGTCCTCAGGGCCGCACTGGTCTCACAAGGCGCCTGGCTCCCTTCAGCCCTGCACTCACAAAGCCCCTTCTTGACAGGCTCCTCACACTGCGTTCCTAATGACTGATTCATGGAGAAGGGTACACACAGCTTCTTACAGCCCCTTTTCTTCCTTTTTAAATATTGAGATGGGGACTCACTAAGTCACTTGCCCTGCATAGGCTGGAAGTTGAGATCCTCCTGCCTCAGCCTCCCAGACTGCTGGGATGTCAGGAACACACCATCATGCCCTGCCTCTCTTTTCTGTCTACAGACTTGGTTTCTGGCTAGCAGGGGACAAGTTTCCTGAGCTGCACACAGGTACACAGAGGCTCAGGTGGACAGAGGGACTGGGGACTGAGGGTTCCAGGGTCTATAGACTGCTTGCACCTCCCGGGGGGGCCCCACGAAGGAAGCTCATTTTCAGCTGGATGCAGCAGCCCCAGCTGGGGGCAGGGGGCTGGGAGCCAGCTCCGGTAGCCACAGCCTCTGGTGAGAATTCTCACACGTTGTAAAGGAGGCTCTGGCTCCAGCTCCTTTTCTGGCGGGGCAGCCACTGGGGCCGTCCTGGGCTGGCTGGGGAGTTCGCAGCTTCCCAAGCTGGGTGTGTGTGTGTGTGTTTGTGCGCCGCGGGGCCCAGGCATGCTCTTCCTGGGGACTGGGCACAAGCCTGGGTTCCCACAGGCAGGACGGCCCATAGCTCACAGTGAGCTGCATGGGTTCAAATCCCAGCTCGAGCTGGGGGGTGGTAATCTGCAGTCCTCACCGGAAACAGATGTGGCACCAGTCAAAAGCTTCTAGGAGCCTCGAAGCTGGGCTCCCTGGGGGCTCTTACCTGCTTTTCTGTCATGGACCCATTTTCTATTTTGAAATTTAGATTTTAACTTATAAATGCAAATGTATAGGACTACAAGGAAACATTCCATTGGGCTGGCATTAAAACTTTAACAGCCAAGGGGTTGCTATGGGTGCTTTTATTTTTTACAGGGCTGGGGATGGAACCTAGAGACTCTCTCCTGCCAGGCAAGCGCCTGAGCCCCAGCCCCAGCCTAGCACCCTAGGGTGAGCTCGTTTTGCTAACACACCTAGTACCCAGGTACGGCAGCGGGCTAAGAGCCGGTCACATTGCCACTTGCTGCCTGTTATGGATTAAAAACTGGTGGTCAGCTTAACACCAGCTGAACTGAATCAGCATGGTGCTGAATATAGATGGCTCATCTGAAGAAAGTTGCCAGCATAGAGACATTAGCTGGGCATGATGGCTCATGCCTATAAAGCCTGCACTCAGGAGGCTGAGGCAGGAGGATCCTTGCAAGTTCAAGACCAGCCTGGGCTACAAAGAGAGCTCAAGTCCAGCCTGAACTGCATAGTGAGACCTCGTCTCAAAAAGACAAAAACAAAACGAAACAAAAACCACAAAGTGTTGCTGTTGGTTGGAGCTGTCGGTTCTCCTGGAGGAGCGTGTCATGCTGGCTTCCCCATGTGAATTTGGTCCTTATCGCTGGAAGAGCTCGGGGCCTTGTCGTCACTGAGAGTGGCTGTGGGTCACTTTGCGGGAACTCTGGTCCTTACTTTGAGCATCGCTTCCTGGCTGGGGAGGGGAAGATGTGTGCTGCTCAGTCTCCGGGAGAAGCCGTCACGCTGGCTTCCTGACATGAACTTGACTGTTCTCGTGGTTGGAGGAGCTCAGGACCTCATCTTAGCTGAGGATGGATGGCTGTGGTATTTTGGGGGGCAGCCCTGGTCCTTACTTTGAGTGTCACTTCCTGGCTCCAGTACAGAAGCCTCAGGCCGCTGGCACAGCTCCTTCACCCCGCTGGTGCAGACTTTCTAGCTTCTACCGCTGACCTTGGGGCCTTCCCAGTACAGATCTGTGAAACAGATCCTGCATGATCTGTTGCATGAGTCTCCAGCTGGACTCGCGGGAGGCACTGTCATGGGCTCTAGGTCTTCAGCTGGACTCATGCAGGATATTGCCATGGAATCCAGGCCCTCAGCTGGATTCTCTAGTCTTTGGTGTTGTGGACAGATTTCCTGCACTTTCTTGTATTTAACTCTGGCTGACCATCACAAAATAATATAAATTCTGTGTCCTGTATTGTCTTGTTCTCCTTGCAGCTCCCGAGCTGCTGGAACCCGGAGCCTCAAGCACGCCCAGCGCACCCCGCCCTGCCCCGAGGAGCTCCGGAGTCCGGAGGATTGCGCAGGCGCGGCTCTGGCTCGGCTTCCCGGATGACACAGCCGGAGTCCGGTGGCCGCTCTGCGGTTTGCTTCCCACGACTGCCGGGAAGGGAAGGAAATGACAGATTGTAGCTGCGAGCTGGTGAAAATTAAGAGGTGCCTTTTCCCCAGTCTGAGTTCATGGGTCCCTGAATTCACCCTGGGTCCTGGAGGTGGTGACTGGATCGAGGTCTGCACGGAGGGGGTTTTTCCTTGAGGGAAGGATTAGGGAGGGCACTGGATGCAGAGTCATGCAGGCCTGGGTTCAAATCTAGCTCTGCCTCTCTCCCTGGGAGACCCTGTAAGTGGCAGCTGACTCCGGGCCTCTTCTGTGTGTCTCAGCCGCTAGGAGGAGCGAGGAGAAGGCCCAATGGCGTGTGTTAAGGTCTGGCACAGCATTCTGGGGTCTCATGTCAGCACGGGCTGTGCGGGATGCAGGAGACCCCGGGGGGATGGTGAGTTGATGGGGAGAGGAAAGCAGCCTTTCTGTGCCAAGGAGTCACAGGTCCCTTTCCAGGCGGTGGTCTCTCTGAGACCCGGGCCTCTGTGTAAGTCGCCATGTGTGTGGGTGCCATAAGCTGGTGTTTGTGTGTCAGGCAGAGATGTGTGTGCGCAGACACAAGTGGCGCCACGTGGCGGGGTGTCAATGGGTGTGAGTCTGAATCTGTGTGTGGGTGTCTGGGGTGGCCTGCTCTGTGTGTGTGGACCTTACAGGTGAGTGAGTGCGTGCCTGGGCTGGAGGTCGCTGGTCGCAGAAGACCTCTGCTGGGCTGCTGTGAGTGCGAGAATGAGTATTTGGGGGCACTGGAGGGTGAACGATGCGTGTGCATGTGCGCATGCGCGCGTGCTCAGGGTTGGTGGGGGGCGTCCCGTGTGTGTTTTTGTGTGTGTGTGTGTGGCCCTGTCACCGCCGGCTCCAGGCCCGGCCACATAAACTTCACACTCCTGCAGGCGGGCCCGGCAGCCCCGCAGCGGCCGTGTAGGGCAATGGGAAGCAGATGGGCCCGGATGGAGGCCATATGGGGCTGGGGGCGGGGGCGCATTCCTCCCTCCCAGCGCTGCCAGGAAGCCCCCTGCCTGCCGGCCCCCCATCAGGGGGGAGCTGGAACTGACACTGTAACAAATGTCCCGCAGCCAGCGTGGAGCCAGCCCGGAGCCGGCAGGGAGGAGGCCCCGCCTCGTGGGAGAGTGGGACTCTGACTGCGCCTGTGTGCAGGAATGTGCAGGAGATGCTGGCCGGGCGGCGCTGCCCAGAGAAGCCGGAGCCAACCCCAGGGCTGCGCAGCCGCGGGCGCTGCACTCACCTGCTCTGGCATCAGTGTCCCCAGCAGAGCCACAATAGGGTGGCTGATCGGGATGTGATACTGGGGAGCTCTTTCTGGCAAACATGAGGTCATGAGTTTGATCCCCGGTACCAAAAAAAAAAAAAAAAAAAAAAAAAAAAGAGGGGGCCAGGTAAACAGGCGCGGTGGCACATGATTGTAGTCCCAGCTACTGGCGAGGCTGAGGCAGGAGATGTGCTTTGAAAGTTGCAGCCCAGACTTAGTCAGACGGCCTCAGAATGAAAATGTAGAGGGCTGGGGTACAGAGAGCTTGCTTACCCTGCCTCAGGCCTGGGCTCGTCCTCAGCTCACACGCACTGCCCAGTGGTGGCCTCTAAACAGCCTGGCTTCAAAAGTCTGCTCTGCACTTCCCGTCTGTGACATCCGTGGGGTCACTTCTCTCTGTGCCTCAGTTTCTTCTCTGGGGAGTGGAGCTCAGTGGGGAGGCCCTGGGACCTGGCCTGTGAATGCACAGGCGGCCAGTGTGAGCTGCTGCCTGGGCCTGGAGGGCTCTGGACAGCCCAGAAGGGAGCAGCCGGCTCCCGGCCAGATGACAGCAGACAGGCAGAGCCTTGTTCAGGTCACCCAGGAGGAAGGAGCAGAACTGGGCCAAGCTTTTGCCTCCTGCCTGGAGGTCACCCCTCCTTGCCTGGGAGGGCACAGCCGCCCTTCCTGGCCAGGCAAGCTGCTGGCTGCTGCTTTTGATCACGCTCAGATGTCAGCAGGGCTGGGCTCCTGCCCTGGACCTTGCAGGAAGCTGATGAGGGGCCCTGCGTCCCACCCCTGCCGTCTCCCTGCAGGTGGAACAGGCAGAGACAGGACCAGGCCTGGCTTCTCTCTGCCTCCTGTGTGGCCCTGGACAAGGGGCTGGACCTTAGGTGGCGAGGAGTGGAGGCCACTGATCTTGAATGAATGTCCTATAACCCAGCCCCTCACTGTCCCTCTCCTGGAAGTTGGGATGCAAGGGGCAGGGCCAGGGCAGCGGTCACCGGGGTGTAGTCCACTCACTTCTCAGCCCTTTTCTGTTCTCAGAGTGACCTAATCACATAGCTTCACCTGGAGGCTTAACAGGATCATGTCAATAGAGTGGCCTGAGGTAGGCGCTCAGTAAATGCTAAGTCAGTTTTGTCTCCTAGTCTCCTTCCTTGGGGGCCCCTTAGGGGTCGGCTGTTATTGGTTCCTCCAGGCACCCACTCTTCCTGTACCTAAATTCAAGGGTAGGGTCAACTCTGTCCTTAGGGGTGGGACATGTGGCCTGGAACTGGCCAATCAGAACACTGCTCTGTCTCAACCAATGAGAGCCAGACCTGGGATTTTAGATGCACTCATGAGGAAGAAAGCCGTTTCTCTCTATGGGGGTTGCCAAGCTGGGAGAATGGGTGTCTGGGTGTGGGGTTCACCTGGCCTCAGTGAGGGAGAAGCCTGACAGGGGACAGCCAACAAAGATGGAGAGCCGGTCCTGGTGATGAGATCTGAATCCCTAGGTGCAGCCGTGCCTGGTCGGTCACTGATCCCTGCTGGTGAGAGACTGAGGCCACGTTCCAGGCCCCAGCGGCAGGGACAGAACTGGGATTTGAACCCCGGTTGACTGGCGCCAGTGGCCTCAGCCTCCAGGCCCTCAGGAGCCCTTTGGTGTAAATCCCTCCAGTCTGGAATCCTCCTCACCCAGCCTGGCTTCTGAGCTCAGCTATTTCTGAGCTTCCCTAGGGAGAGCATTTCCTGCCTCTGGCGGAAAAATCAGGAGAGAACATGAGAGTCCTGTGGTCTGGCGCTGAGTGCGTGTGGGCAAGCCCGGGACAGATGAAAATTCCTTCCCTCTCTCCTCCTCTCCTCTCTGCCTCCTCCTCCCTCTTCTCTTTGTTTCTGGCCTCCCTCCCTTCCCTTCTTTCCCTTGCCTTCCCTCCCTGGCCTGCTCCTAAGCTCCTTCCTGTCTGAAATAAAGCAGAGCCCCACCGGCCGCGTCCCCCTCTCTGGGTCCTGCCCCGGCCTCTGCCTGCCTGACCTGAGCCTCAGCTCTGCTCCGGGGCCGCTTCCCCGCACGGGCGGTCACCAGCACCACCTATGAAAATGCAAAACTGGGCATGGTGGCGCATGCCAGTACTCAGGTACTCTGGAGCCCGAGGCAGGCAAGTCATGAGTTCAAAGCTACCCAGTCCCACCGTCGAACATGGTGGCGCACGCCTGTAATCTCAACGTGAGGGAGGCTGAGGCAGGAGGATCGCTGTGAGTTCTAGGCCAGCTTAAAACGCATGGTAAAACGTTGTCATAAATAAATAAAGATTCTCAAGATAGAGGCCAAGTAAAAAAATAATAATAATAAAAGAAAGAAAGAAAGAAAGCCCACTGACCAGGCCCTGCACCAGCTGTGGCACAGCTGTGCGTCTGGGATGGGGGCAGGAGAGACCCCCACCGGATAGTCAGATGCAGTGGCCCTTGGGACCCTGCGTGAAGGTGTCAGGGGTCTTGAAGATGTCTGACTCTCCTGTCGCTGTCGCTGAAAGCCACATGTGGCAAGCGTACACAGAACAGAGGTTGATTCGACTCAAGGTCTCAAAGACCAGGAGGCTCGAGGTTGAGGGGCCATAAAGTGGGCAGGTGACTGGACAGACAGATGAATCTATGCACATGCACCAAGCCCTCTAATCACTTCTTTTGGTGCCAGAGTTGGAACCTAGAGCCCCACACGTGCTAAGCCCGTGCCCTGCCACTCAGCTCCACCCTCCAGCCCTTTTAAAATCTGTTTTGAGACAGGATCACATACGTTTGCCCAGACTGGCCTTAAATTTGCAATCTTCCTGCCCCAGCCTACCCAAAAGCTCAGGTCACAGGTGTGCGCCTCCACACCTAGCACTGATCAGTCACCTCTTCAGGTCCTTCGGGGTCCTTCTTTCACTGTAGGGATTCAGCATCCACACGGGACCCTGCAGCCATAGCACGGCCAAGCCGCTGTGTGGGGCTGGGGGAGCTGCACCCCTCTGAGCGGGGAGGGATCTAGGGTGGGAGCCAAGGCAGGGCTTCTCTCATCATGGAGACTTAGGAGCCTTTTCACGCTGAGCAGCTCATTTATCTAGGAAATGGGGAGCAGAAAAGAACAGGTGGGTACAGTGGTGCTCACCTGCGCTGCCAGCTACCAGGAAACTGAGGCAGGAGGATCCAAAGTCCAGGCCAATCTGGATGATACAGGGAGACCTCATCGCAAAATTAAAAAGGGGCCAAGTGTGATGGCACAGGCTTGTAATCCCAGCACTTAGGAGGCTGAGGCAGGACGATTCTTGTGAGCTGAGCAGTGAATTCAAGGCCAGCCCAGGCTACAGAGCGAGACCCTGTCTCAATAAATAAATCAAATAAAAAGGGAAGGTGGGGATGTAGCTGAGGTTGGAGAAGTTGCCTAGCTTGCCTAAGAATCTGGCTTCCAACCCAAAAAAAGAAAAGAAGAAGAAAAACCTACACATAGATGTCGGTGCTTAGCCCTCTCCTGGGGGAAACACACTGGGTCCTCGTAGCCCCTGAGGCGGGCTGTTATTGCTGATTTTTTTTCCTTTTTGAGACAGGGTCTCCCTATGCAGCACAGGCTGGCCTTGGGCTCACTTTGTCACCCAGGCTGGTGTTGAACTTGCAAGGACCCTCCTGACTCAGCCGCCCGAGTGCTGGGATTATCAGCCTGCACGACCATGGCCAGCTATTATCGTTGGTTTTTCAAAGATAACACTGGCTGGGGATATACTTTAGCGGCACAGCACCTGCCTGGCAAGCATGAGGTTGTGAGTTTGATTCCTGCTACCAAAAAGAAGAGAGGTAATTCTGAGGTTCAGGAGGGTCGGAGTACTTGCCAGCAGCACACGGCTGGTAGGCAGAATCTGGCTGCAAGCTTTGCACGCTGCGTATTGGCCCCAGGTGGCTGGCGCGGCAGACTGTGTTGGTTTGAGACAGGGTCTCACTGTGTAGTTCAGGTTGGCCTTGAACTTGCAGTGATCCTTCTGCCTTGGCCAAGTGCTGGGGTTACAGGTGTGTGTACCTCGGCCGCAGGGGCAGGTTTATGCTCATGTTGGCCGGAGGGAGGGAGGGAGGGACAGCCCAGGGAAGATGGCCTGGCATTAGATGTCCTGCACCAGAAGGAGTGCTAGCCCTGTGTGGAGCCCTGCCTCTCCTGTGCCCCCGGCAGGATGGAGACACACCAGGTCCCAACAAGACCTTGCCCCACCCCCAGCTACACGGGTGAGGTATCAGCTGCTGGCCCTGACTTCACTCTGGTTTGCCGCTGGTGGGCTCCATCCGCACCCACGCATGGAGCCAGGCACACAGTGGGTGCTCAGGGGAGAAGGATGAATCCTTGATGCTTGCTGTGTTGGGATCTCTTTAAACACCCACCATCTGATCTCCCCGCAGCCAGTAACAAGGAAGAGGCCCGGGGGTCTGGCCCCACAGACCCTCATCAAGTTTGTTGAATGACCAAATGCAATGAGCTTTCTGTTTCCCATACTGCGTGTGCAGCATGTGTCTGGCAGAAGCTCCCCCTGCCACCTCCTGTCTGCTGGCTCAGAGCTGTGGGTTTCCACATCTGCTGGCACTGCCAGGAGCAGACCTCACGGGAGGTAGTTCCCGGCTGTGGAGCCAGGGACAGACCGGGGTCTGCCAGGCAGCGACTTCCTTCTGAGTAATTCCTCACGGGTCCTGGTGCGACGCTGCCGGCCGGGCTGGAGCTGGGCCAGCTGAGTTCTTGGGCCTTGCACAAACAGGGCCTCCCCTGAGCCCCACTGCAGCCACGCAGCCCTCAGCCTGGGCCTCGGTCCCTTCCCAGCAGCTTGGCTTCCCGAAGCTGTTTAAGCGGCCACGAGGCAAACCGGGCTGGCATCACGGTGTGCTGCGCGGTGTGATCGCCGGTCCTGCAGCCAACTTTCTCACTTACCGTTTATTTTTTCATGAGCGCTTGTTTGCCGTACATCATCCATAATTCCATGAGAGTGCTGGGATCACAGGTAGGCAGCACCACGCCAGGCTCAGCAAATACTTTTTGACTATTTCTGCATTCATTTGGTGAACATTATTGGACATTTACTTCATGCCACACTGGGACTGCCAGATTTGGGCAAATCAAAGCCAACAACAGCAAACCCCAAAAGCCCCGTTAAACTGGATTTCAGATAACTAACAAATAGTCTTTAGCATAAGCATCTCCCAGGTGCTATTAGCATATCTATCTGTGCTACCCCGTGGTCAGCCCCATTTGCTTCTCCGGGGCCCTGGGAGGCTCAGAGAAACAATCACCGGCTTCCTGTCACCCGTACCCAATTCCTGCAGGGCAGGTTTGGAACACAGAGCCATCACCATGGCTTCCTGGCTTTTCCTCTGCCTGGGAACTCACCTGCTGAGGAAATTCCCCGAGGGTCACCAGGTGAGAGGCTGGTGTAGCCAGCTGGGGTGCGGGGCAGCAGAATCGCCCAGCTGTGTGGGTGGAGGGACATGGCCCGGAGGGGTGGCCAGGCTCCTCAGCCATGTGACTTCTGCCTGCCCTGAGCTCCTCTTCCAGAAGCAGACAGCTGGGTGCAGTGACACCTGCCCTCACCACAGTCTGGAGGCTGAGGCAGGAGGATCACGGTGAGTGTGAGCCCAGCTGGGGCTACATGAGCTCAAGCCCAGCCTGCGCTGCATAGTGAGACCGGGTCTCTCCAGGCCTGAGCCTGCTTTCCTGCTCTCACCGACCATCCTCAGCTCCCAGACATTTCTCCAGCCCCGGTGGTGTGCTGAGTCCAGGCATGGTACTGGGGGGCCTGCTGGGAACGGGCAGTCCTGTGGAGCTAACATCTAGTGGAAATGACAGGCGACAGAAATGTGGGAAGAGAATTTGGGCTGTGAAAAGTACTGAGTCCAGCCAGGTACTGTGATGCCTGCCTATAATCCCAGCATTAAGGAGGCTGAAGCAGGAGGGTCATTTTGAGTTTGAGACCAGCCTGGGCTACAAAATGAGCTCAAGGCCACCTTGAACTACTGCATAGGAAGACATTGTCTCAAAAAGACCAAAAAAAAAAAAAAAAAAAAAAAATCCAGGAATATAGCTGAGTGGCATTGTGCCTGCTTGGCAAGCATGAGGTCCTGAGTTTGATTTCTGGCACAAAATAAATAAAAAAAGAGAAAATAAAAAGTCCTGAGGTAGAAATATATAAAGCTGGGGAAGGTAACAGAGACTGAGTGGAGGCTGAGGCAGATCTGTCTTGGTTGGGCTCCCTGAGAGGCCCGTGGGAAAAATGCTTCTGGGCATCAGTGCAAAGGCCCTGGGGCAGAGCAAGCAGGCACCTGCTGGTGAAGCAGATGCCAGGACCAGAAACTGGGAGCTGAGTTGGATGCATGACTCAGGGCCCCACGGGGCTTGGGGACAGGGCCACCTGGCTCCTCCATGGCTTCCCTCACAGCCTTTGTCTCCTCCTCTCAGACTTCCCTGGTGCCCCCAGCATAAACAGCCCAGCTTCACCTCTCAGTGCTATTGCTGCATGGCGTCTCCATCTCTGTATCGGTGTGCGGGGAGCCACGCTGCCTTCCCCAGGAGCACACGGCCAGTGGTCCCCGCTCTCAAGTTGAGAGAGCTGGGCCTGGAGACCACAGTTCTGAGGTTGAAACTTCCGACCGGAGCCCTAAGATCAGCAGGATTTTTGCCGAGGTCCTGGCTGAGTTCCGGGGGCCCCTCCCTGTGTGCCCGGCACAGCAGGAACAGCGCCCCACTTCGGTGGGTTCAGCGTGTGCGACCCAGTGGTGCTCGGTACATGCACAGCGTTGTGCGGCCATCACACCCATCTAGATCCCAACATCCCTCCCTCCCAGGGGCTCCTGCCGGGTCCCCCTGCACCCCCACAGCCCTTGCCCCGCAGCCACTGCGGCTTCCTCGCTGGGATCTGCCTCTCCGATGGAACCCAGCAGCCCGCGCGTGGCCCTGGGGCCCGGCTCCTTCTCGTGGTGGGACCTGTGTTTCAGGGCCTGGCTCTGTTAGTTTGCTGAGTCAGGGTCTAAACTCCCACTGGCCTCAAACTCAAAATCCTCCTGCCTCAGTCTCTTGAGTGCTTGGGATTACAGGCATGTACCACCATGCCTGGCCGCCTGTTTTTTTGTTTATCTGTTTGGTTTGGTTTGTAGTTGCTGGAAAATATGCCATTTTAGCTGGGCATGATCACGCACGCTTGTCTTCTGGGAGAATTCTGGGAGGCTGAGACAGGAGGATTGAAAATTCAAGTCCAGCCTGGACCACTAAGCGACTTAACAAGACCCCTTCTCAAAAACATAAAGGGCTGGGACGTGGCTCAGGGTGTGTTTTCTGCTTTTAGACTATTGTGCAAAGTGCTACTATGCACGTGTGTACACGTTTTTGTCCAAACATCTGTTTTCAGTACTTTGGGGCGGATACTTCAAGCTGGACCTGCTGGGTGCTGGTAATTCTGTGCATGATTTTAGAGGCGCTGCCGTCTGGGCACTTTAAACACCCGTGATCCCTCTGGGACTTCTTACACTCAGCTACCCGAGGGTCATTCTGTGTCGCCCATTTTGCAGATGAGGAAACTAAATCTCATAAAATGGAACTGTTTTGTTTTGATATTTGAAACAGGGTCTCATGGATAGCTGCCCTTGAATTATGCAGTCCAGGCTGGCCTCAAATGTGTGGGCGATCCCCCTGCCTCATCCTCCAGAGTGCTGAGATCACACATGTGCGGAGAAGTGGAGCTCGTGAGCCATGGTCACATTTGTAACACATGACGGATTTAGGGCTGCTGGATTCCAAACCACCTAGATCCAAGTGGAAGAAAAGAGACAAAGTGAGAGGAAGGGGAAGAGGCGGACTGAGACTGTCCTGGTCTAAGCCCAGCTCCTTAGCTGCCGTCTGCAGAGAGGAGAGGACCCACCCCACCCCACTGTCCTTCCTGGCTGTGTGACTTGGCCAGCGGATTCGCCTCTCTGGGCCTCCCTGGGTGGTCGTGAGGATAAAGGACGCAGACAGCCTCATTTTGGGGTGACGGCCCTTCTGACAACCTGAAATCCTGTGCTCTTGGTTTGGGTGGGCCTGGGGGTGCAGGGGAGACAGGGGTTCCCAGAGCCTCCTCTCTGGCGGTGCTTGGAGGCCTGCGGGGCCATCGGGCAGGGAGTGTGGTATCCACCACAGACACTCCACCCTGTGTGGGCTGAATGTTCAGGTCGGAGGACAGCAGAGGTTGCCAAAGCTGCCTGAGCATCGCCTGCAGGACAGAAGGCAGCTCCCCAGAGCCACATACACTGCCCGCCTTACCCCACCCCACTGGGAGGCTGAGGCAGGAGAATCACAAGTTCAATCGCAGCCTGGGCAGTTTAGTAACTTACCAAGACACTGTCTTGACAGTTTTTAAAAGGGGCTGGAGGCTGGAAATGTAGCTCAGCGCAAAGGTCTTGTTTCAGTCAACAGCACCGCAGAAACGGAAGCCCAGATTTCCTGTACCGTGTTACCTGGATACCAGAAAATAAAGCTCTCCTCTGGGTGTGCAGCTCTGGCGGGGGACAGGGGTGCCCGGGAACTGTCAGCGTGGGCGCAGGCCTCTTTGTTGAAGCTCAGTGCACACTGGGCACAGGGAGGACAGCAGGGACCCTGTGCGCCCTTGCTGGGTGCCAGGCAGCAGGCTGAGGCACACATATGCTGACCATGTGGAGGCTGCACAGTGTGGAAACTGAGGCACGGGGGGCTTGCTGTGGGAGGGATGGCTGCAAGGTGGCCGATGTGGGACTCGGATAGCACAGCCAGGTCCAGAGGGACCCCAGGTCTGAGAAAGGACATCCGGCACCCACAGATTTGGTGACCTTGTCTGGCTGATGCTGGCACGGTGGGCAGGGCACTGCTGGCAGGAAGGGAGAGGATGCAGGCGCCCAGAAGTGCCCTGTGCCCGGTTTAATGCCTGCTCGGTGGGCTTTTCCCTGGGGGAGGTGGGGGAGTGTTATGTCCTGGGCCAGATCCGCGGCCTGGGGTCCCTTCAGCCTGGGGTGCCTGGGAAAGCGTGTGGTCTGTCTACACTGGCCAGAACTCAGCCCCACCCAGCCTGCCGTCCCGGGCTTCCAAGCTGGCCTGGCGCTGGCCAGTTCCACTGGATGACAAGTGTCCGGCCTCTCTCAGCCTCTGTGTGCCTGCTGGAAAGCGGGGAGGTTGTGCCAGCCGAGAGGCTGCGGCTCTGGGCCGCCCACGCGGGAAGTGTGCCGTGCGAGCCGGAGTCCAGCCAGAGGTCAGGCTGGAGGCCGGGGCTGCCCAGGGCCCAGCTGCCAGGACACGGCGAGGGGGGCGAGGCCGGAGCCTGAGTCACGGTTTCCCGCTGCTGCCAGGCCAGGCGGGAAAGGGGAGGTGGGACGGGCGGAAGTGGGGAGCCTGGGCGTCCGGGAGGACAGAGCCCGGAGTTGTGGACAGTGTCGGGCGGAATGGACAGAAAGCTGCCTGTCCGAGGAGAAGGTCCCTGCAGTGTCAGGGGTCCCTACCCGCTCTGAGTTAGGGCGGCAGACTCAGTCTCTGCAATTTCTTTCTGGTTTATTTTGGTTTTGGTTTGGTTTGGTTTTGAGACAGGGTCTCACTGTGTGGCAATGCTGCTGTCACAGCCTCCCGAGGGCTGCGATTACCAGCATGAGTCACCGTCCCCTGTGCAGGAGGGCTTCCTGGGGGAGGCGGCCCTCCGGGCCCTGGCCCCAACCAGCGCTGGGGTGAGGCCTGGGAGGTGACCGTGGCAAGGGATGCACTGTGGCCAGCTGACGGTAAGACTAACCAGCCGAAGCCACCTGCCAGGGGAGAACAGCCTGGCCAGCGTCCCCAGCACACGCGCAGCCTTCGTGGTCAGCCCTGGCGGCCACGTCCCTGCCCCCGCCATGATGGGCCGTGGGATCCTGGTGGAGCCTGGCGGTGACTCAGCAGGAATCGCGGCAGACGGGAGCCAGCTGGGTGTCCAGACCAGAAACCAGCCCTTGACTGCTCGCTGGAGCCCTGGCCGGCCAGCTGGGCTGGGCTGTGCGGGTCGCCGCGGTGAATCAGCCTTTCCATTGCCTGGTTTCCGTTCCGTAGTGTGTGCTGGCCTATTCTAACACTGTCCCTTCTTTCTGCCCTAATGTGTCTCTGTACGCACTCATCAGTGTTTACTGAGCACCTACTGTGTGGCGGGCGGCATTCTGGGTACAGGTCACAATTTTGGATAAAACACCAAAAGCTAGTGAAAGGCCAGGGCAGCAGTTGCAAACAGCTGGCATGCAGAGCTGAACAGGAAGGTGGAGGAGGCTGGGAAGGACCTCTCTCAGAAGGTGACATCCCCAGCAGAGGGCTAAGGGCCTGTGGGAGGAGGCCTACAGTGCCAGAGTCTTGGAAAGGGTGGTCCTGGAGTCATAGCAAGAGGTACAGCAAGTGCAAAGGCCCTGAGGCTGAAATTACCTGGAAGGGTCAGAGAATGGCCATATAGTAGGATGGGAAGACACATTCCCTGTGTATTTTGGGCAGTTTAAGGGTTTCTAGGAATATTTTTGTCTTTCCAGCTAAGTTAACTCATGAAGCTGTGTCTGTGGCCTGGCCCTTTGAGGCTGCGTCTTGTCCATGGGACTTCAGGCTCCTCTGCTGAGCTGGGCCGCAGTCCACCACCCGGGCTGCTTCAGACGTTCCTTTCATCTGGGCATCCATCTGCCTCGTCCACACTCACACAGCTGGACTGTGGGGACTGAGCGGGCACTGTCCCTGCCTGAGTGGAACATGGGGGCCATTGGGGAGTCTGGAGGACGGCCTGGGCCAGCATCTAGAGGGCCGCTGCTCTGCGTCACAGGGGACGGGGGCCCGGCAGGGTCAATCCCGTTTGTGCCTGTGATGGGCTGGAGGGGGCCCAGGCGATGAGTGAAGCACATTCCTGGGCGAGGCGTGGTGGCCTGACCTGGACACTGTGTCTGGTCTGTGGTTGCTGTGCCTTGCTGTTGGGTTGTTCCCCTGCCATCTGCTCCCCAGATGCTTTGGGGCAAGCAGCTGTCCTCGACCAGGCTCTTCCTCCATGATGTCCCTGCCTGGAGCCCGCTGGCATGACAGAGACCTCTGTAACCATGGGCCAAGTGCACCTTTTCCCCTGGAAGCCGTGGATGCCAGGTCCTTGGTCGGAGCCACAGGTAGCCGGTCCGAACCATCCCTCTTCTGAAACTTTCCAGGAATGTTTGTTCACTTTCACGGTGCCCATTTCACAGATGGGGACACTGAGGCACAGGGACGTAAACAGCAGCTGGCAGAGCCAGCCTTGCTCCTGAGTGATTGGCTCTGGCTCTCCCTTCTCTGCACGGCCCCTGGGCTGCCTGTCAAGTGTGAAGAGGGGTTTGTTGCTCAGTTTTTCCTAGTGTTGGTATAAAAAATTGTCACAATGAACCACTGCAGACACGGTGTGTCACTGATTTGGGCCTCCGAGTTGGTGGTGTCTGTGTGTACAGTGCACATGTTTTGTGCGGGGCTGGCTGTGGCGTGTTTCTGTGGGCCCAGCGTGTCGTGGGGCTGGCCTTTGTGTCAGGCCCCAGATGTGTGCGCGTGTTGAGCCCTGAGTCTGCTGTGTGTCGGGGGTCCAGAGGGGAGCGGCGTAGGTGTCTGCTCCTGTGATTGGAACGAGAGAACGATTGGGACGGTTCCTGCAGTGGATGGCGCGGCTGGAGCCACCTGCAGACGCCCCAGGCCAGCAGCGGCCCTCTCCGTGCACCTGCTCCCCCTTCTGACGCCAGGTCCCGGGTGAGGCTGAGCGTGGGCCACGGTCCCCTCCCCGTCCATCACGCATTGGCCGGGGCAGCAGGAGGCGGGGGCCGTGGAGGGCGGGGCCCGGCTCATGCCTTCTGGCCTCTGCATGTGCACAGGGAACATGTGGGTGGGAAGATGTGTGTGTCAGGGCGGATACACGGGGCACAGAAGGACTCGGGCATGTGGGGACAGACAGACAGGTGCAGACTCATGTGCGTGGGCCGCGGGCAGACGGTGTGCATGTGGGTGGCAGGTGTGACGCCCTCTGTGCTCCCAGCTCTGCTCTCACACGCATGCACACATTCACACCGCTGCACACGAGGGTGTCAGCGATCACACGGGGCGGGGGCCGGGGCAGGGCTTGTCCGCTGGTGCAGGGCTCTGGGTTTGATCCCAGCACCCCCCAAAGCGATGCCAGGGCTAACACTAATCCGGTGTGTGCAGTCAGGGCGGGGCCCCAGGAGCCTGGTCCTCCGTGCCTCAGTTTCCTCTTCCTTCTGGGCATGTCGGGAGCAGCACACAAGCGCCAGGCTTTGTGTCCCGTGGGGAGGTGACTCTGGCTGTGTGCCCAGCCCCAGGCCTGCTTTATGGGTGAGACAACTGGGCCCCGGGAAGGGAAGGCCTCGGCCCGGGACTGTGCGGCCAGGAAACGGCAAGTACAGGATTCGAGTCTGGCACCCAGACACACATGGGCGCAAAGTACGGGGCTCAGCCTTAGGTCCACCCAGGAGGGGCTCGGATGGGGGTGCGCTCAAGGCAGGACCGGGGGGTCCGGGACCAGGGCCGGCCCGCAGAGCCCCGAGAGCCTGGGGGGTGCTGCTTCCAGCAGGGGTGCACCCGGCTCTGGGAGCTGCTTTGGGGGCCCAGACCCGCTCCCCTCTGACCCTTCTCGGAAGCCCCCATTCCTGTGCCTTGCTTCCTCCCCGCAGCCTGTGCGAGGAGCCAGGAGCGAGGGGTGAGCCCTCCACACGGAGCTCGGCTCTGCTGGTCCATCAGTCGGTTGACTGTCTTGCTAAGTTGCCCAGGCTGCCCTTGAACTCCGGTCTCCTGCCTCAGCCTCCCAAGTAGCGGGGATCCCAGGAGCACCGCCCCGCCCAGCCCTTCGTTGTCCTTTCCTTTAAGTGAGGACCGGAGACTCAATGCCCGACAGGCACTGGACAGGCCGGAGCTGGCAGGAGAGCGGGCTGTCGCCGTGGGGGGCGGCAAGTCCGAGCTTTGCTGCAGAGCCCGTGGCGAGGATGCTTCACCCCTGTGCGGCCCAGCGAGGCTCCTCTGTCCCTCCGCGGGCTCTGCCTGTGGGCCCAGGTCCGAGGCTGGGTGTTTGCTGTGTGCCCTAGAGAAGTCCCCGCCTCGCTGCACCCAGGAGGCCTCGCATGACGCAGAGCTGGGGCTGCCCGGGGGACAGAAGGGGACAGAAGGGAGGGAGCGTCCTGCCGTCTCGCCCTGCCTGCTCCATCTCACCCATCCTGAGACGGTGGCAGCTCCAGGCTGGCAGCTCCGGGCACCGTGGCGGAGCTGTACAGTGCCAGGGTCCACCTGCGTCCCAGAGTGAGGCCGGCACCGGGGCTGGGGTCACTGTGCAGGCTTCCTGGAGGAGGAGGCGGCACTGAGGCGGCTCTGGGCCGTCGTCCTGAAGGTCAGGGCCCTGGGCTCCATCATCTCGGTCACTTCCGGTCCCGGCTCCCAGAGCAGAGCCTGGTGCAGTCAGCGCTCAGTCTAGACTTATGAGGAAACAGGAGGCGGCTGAGAGAGCGCGTTCCAGAAATC